TATTTGTATTTATATACCAAATTGCGTTTACAGCATTACAAAAACTGACCGCCATTACTTTTGTCCAGCACTGTACAAATGTTTAGGCCTTATTAGTCGCTTGTCATAGTATTTGTACACAGTAATTTAAATGATATTTATAAGACTATTTAAACTGATAAGTAATTAATATCACTAACTGATTGCACATTTTATTTTAGCCTACCTTGTGTCAGTGAAAATTTCACTTCTCAAATTTGAAACCTCATTCACAAGATAACTTTTTTAATATGAACTATTATGCGTTTGACGCGTTACACAATCTTTGGTTACGAGTCAATGAATCATAAAGTCAACAGCGCAAATTCGATGTCGCGACAGCAAATCGTGAATTTACGTCTAATACCGTCCCATCCCGCCGCCATCCCCTGATAAAAAATAATAATGATAGTAAAGAATAGGAACATTCAAAGCAGATACGCCTCAACAAACCAAACTTCCCGTCAGCTTACGCAAAATTTAGCCCTTTCTGAGATACTAAAATGAACGTGAATAGTGAGAATAATAAATATTCAACTACCCGTAAACTCTCATGATAAAGAGCCCTACATTCATCATACGAAAATGGTTTGTTGCGCCTTGATGTAAAATGGTTTGCAAATCGCGAACATTGTAAGATGTTGATTGGTTGGTTGATTTGCTCATTCTTGGGTAAGACTTATTCATGAGAGTTTACGGTAAGTTCTACAAATCATCCAAAGAATGTATTGCGTAACGTTCCCATCGATTTTCACGTGTAATCTAACTTATATATTGAGAATAATCACGGGCAACAATTAAAATATTTCAATCTGCTAGTAAACAAGTTAAACCACAATGTCGTCGTTTAGTTCACACGTCAGCTCGATTATTCATCCAGGCTGTCCTGAATTGCCAGTTAGATGGTAAGTCGAAAAAAAAAGTGTACAAAATTATCTACCGAGGTATAGGTGATGTGAGACTAGTTTTTACGGTTAAAACAAAAAAAAGATGGGCTGAACATTACATTGATTAGGGGTTTAATGATTTTGTTTGTAATCAAGGTTTCATGCTATTGATTGTCCGCGACGCGATCCAACGAAAGCAGCACAACAGCAACCTGCAGTTTCGTCTTCAAGTACCGGAACAACAGCAACAAAGACTGTTAAACAACCGTCAAATTGGGTCGCATTCTCAAAAAGAGATTCCAATGCGCTAGAGCAAGCATATCAAGCTAATGAATCCGGTGTCAAAGTAGCGTGCAATGAGGACTATTTGTTTGAAGCTGACGTTGAGAATCGAGAAATCGAGCCGGTATGGGCGGATGTGTAAAGGAGAAAAAGGACGAGTTTTCCTTGTCGATGCTGCAACTTTTTATGGTTTGATATAGTACTCGCTCTAGTTACTTATGCAACTTGCCTATACGTAATTAGGTATACTGGCTAGGTCCAACGTACGAAATTCGACGAGGCACATGGTTTCAAGTTGACGGCAGCAAG